GAAACCTAAAGATGAGATTATAATGTCATGTGGAACTAGGGAGCAAAGAGCCAGAATGTACCTGACCAGGGAAACATCTAGACCCAGGGTAACTAGTAAAGCTTATCTTTATTTTTACGTCTTTCATAGGAAGCAGCTGGCAGAACATCACGCTGGTCAGAACACTACCACAGGAAACAGTGGTCTTTGGCACAGACTCTTTGTGTCCGTTTTTGTTCAGTCTCCATCTGTCGTTCTCCCAATTCTCCTTTCGCCTAGAGGTCCATTGCCTCCTCTGTGCCACACGTACTGGAGGAGGTGCTGGGTCTCACGCTCGAGGAGAGACTCTGAGCAAACAGCCAGTTGCTAGTTGCTAGGACGGTAAGATGAATGCTAAGGTGTGTGTCATCTCAGGGTGCCATGGAAACAGAGCACCCAGCTCAGGCTCAGGAGGCCAGGAGGGTGTTCCGGAAGGGAGATTTTAGCAGAATCCTGAGGTTTGGGAGGACGTCCGCAAGGAAGCAGGGGTGTGGCCTTTCGTGGGGCGCTTGCATTTTCCCACAACGAAGTCTAAGTCAGGTGAACCAAAGTGGGAGTTTAGGGCTGCTTGGGCAAGACAGAGTTTATTTATTGACTGACATCGTCACTCACAGAACCCTTGAAATATTTACATGCTCCTTGTGCAGGGATATTCTTCCTCTGTTCCCACCGCAGATGGGGTCGTCTTTTCAGAACTTGATTCTCTTACATTGATACAGTGTTGTAATGGGGGTTATGTGTCATCTTACTTGATTGTCAGGAGAGTTCAGGAGAAGGGCTTCGTCTTTGTCCTCTGTTCTGGTGCTGGTCCCTTCTGCACCCCCTGCTCACTGCCTGGCGGTTTTCCAGTGTTCCATCTGAGTCCCAGCCCCCAGGAGACCTTTACCGTTGTGTGGCTCTTTTCCTGGGTCTCTAAGCACCCTTCACGTTGTACTACTAACCAGTTTGCTGAGATTTCATTTCTGTGTCCGGCGTTGCTTTCTCAGTACACCTAGAGGTTCATTGAGACTCAAGACCAAGGTGTTGGGTTGTTGCTAAGCATCTGTGTTTGTTGAGGTGAGGGTTCCGTAATTGTTCCTGTCAGTAGTTGTTTGGTTCTTATCAAGGAATGAGATTCTCATTACTGTTTCTGGATTCAGCAGGAAAGGCCGTACAGAAAAAAACAGAAGTTTGGTCTCTCTGCAATACGACATTTTTTCAGGTTTATCGAAGTATAATTCACAAAATTGTAAGATATTGTAATGCAGTATTTTATATCATCTGTAATTTCATGTTTTTACGATAACTTCCCCAAAGTTTTTCCTCACATGATAACTAATAAATGCAAAGAAGTCAGAGGTTAAGTCCTCCTCTAGATTTGGCAGGTTTAAAAAAAAAAAAAAGGAAGTAAAATGATTTTGAATTTGAGCAAAATTGCTATTGATAAATTTTAATGGTTCTTAATTGCGTAGATATTTGATGCCATACTGCGTCCTCACTTAATAAATAGCTTCAAGTGTAAGCAACTGGTATTACATTGCGAAGTAGGACCACTGAACCCATTTGTCTTCAGTCCTCTTGGGAAGTTGTGTTAGAGCTGTTCACATTTTCACTGTTCAAGTTATTTTTTAATTACAGAAAGGGATGAATAGATAAACACATGACAGTATTAAGTGGTTATGAAAACCTCTTTCTTTTTCCGAATAATGAAAACTCCTTCCTTGAACAGGAACTTGAATATATTATTCTCCCTTATTATTTCATATTCTTGCTGATATAAATGTTCACAAAGTCCTTTTATGGACTATGACTTGGGTGAATTTTGGGAACAAGGATATTCTTCTGCTCATATAGTCTGTCGTTGGAATTTGTTTGGGTCCTGCAGTTGTGGGTAGAATCTGTTCTTAGTGGGTGGGGATTCCTTAAGAGAATTTTCAAGTTCACCTTCAGTATGTTTGGTAGATTTTGCTCCATGGTTGCATCCTTTCCTGTGTCTTTTTGGTCTTGGAAATTATGACTGTTATCTTCTAAGAGGACGATGACCCTGTCAGCGCCACAGGGAGAGGGAATGAGACGGGAGCAGTAGGTGTTAGGAGCCGGGGATGTGGGGCAGACATGTGCTCTGAGCTGTGGGTGGATTTCACACACATCTATGCAGAAAATCCCCATGGCACCAAACTAGAACCCTAGGACCAGATAAGATGAAACCCATAAAACTAAAGGAAAGGCAGTTGATTTTTTTAAGATTATAAGTGTGTATGTATATATGTATGTATGTATGTATGTATTGAATGCATGCAAGTAAGCGTTCGGGGAAGGGGCAGAAGGAGAGGGAGAGAGAATCTCAAGCACACGCCCCGCTGAGCACAGGGCTCAACACCGCGGCCCTGAAACCATGACCTGAGCCGAAATTAAGAGCCAGACGCTCCAACTGAGCCACCCAGGTGCCCCCAAGAGAGTTAATTTTTTTAAAGCACTTAAGAGTAGAGGAATTATTATAGCCTTTTTCACATATATAACTCTCATGAGCTAAGAATTTTAACTCAGTCTTTGTTAGTAAAAGTTGAAGATGAGATCATTGAGCCCAGGCGGTTGTTCAGCTAGTGAATAATTGATCTAGAATGTGAGCCCCGCATCTTGCTGATTCCATGACCGTCTTGTTTCCTCCTTACGGCCCTGGGAATACGTGTGAAATCATAGGGAGCACAGGATAAGTTATAGAAAAATGACCATTTTTCTGAAGTATATACATCCTTTTGGGTATTCTTGATTCTGCATGTTGTTCCAGGGTTTGTGCAGCAGTGTGTTATGAAAAATAACAAACGAAACACTTAAACCGGCTCTTTGCTTGCTCTCTATGTATGGTATTGGAGGTTTTTCCAAGACAGGTTATCTAACACATAGCCTAAATGCTTCTATTCTAAAGCAGCATAATTATCTGGGAAACAGATTCCACTGCAAGTGAACAGTCTGTTTCAGGATTTCAGAGTTTCACAATGCCTTCAATGTGTCTTTCAGTAAGTAGTTGACTACTGGGGCGTCTGGGTGGTTCAGTCATTAAGCGCCTGCCTTGGGCTCAGGTCGTGATCCCAGGATCCTGGGATCCAGCCCTGAGAGGGGATTGGGCCTGCTTCTCCCTCTCCTTCTGCCCCTCCCCCAACTTGTGTGTGCATGCATACACGTTCTCTCTCTCCCTCTCAAATAAATAAAATCTTTAAAAATAAACAAAATAAGGGTGCCTGGGTGGCTCAGTTGGTTAAGCAACTGCCTTCAGCTCAGGTCATGATCCTGGAGTCCTGGGATCGAGTCCCGCATCGGGCTCCCAACTCCATGGGGAGTCTGCTTCTCCCTCTGACCTCCTCCTCGCTCATGCTCTCTCTCACGGTCTCTCTCTCAAATAAATATTTTTTTTAAATGTAAAATATGTTTAAAAAAATAAAAATAAACAAAAATAATTGCTAAAATTGTGATACAAGCTTTTTTCCCATCCATTTACTTTGACTGAGAAAGGACTAAAGTTTCAGAGTGCAGAAATTGTTTAAGGAAAGGGGTGATATTTGTCAACAATGTAAATCATGACATTGTGAAATTATTTATGTCTCAGTTGTGTCAGGAGACCTCTGATAGCAAATACACTCTCATGATCCCTCACCACGATAATAAGAGAATTTGGGGTGAAATACAGTGTAAGTGGGAATGATAGATGTACCATTTCTCCCAAGTTAGTTGGCATCTCTACACTGTGTGGTTTAAGTGGCGTGAACGTTTCATTTCTCCAGCTAAGTAGTGTGCTTCCAGGACGTGGAAAGATGTATTTCCCCACTGATGTCAACTTTTCATATAGTCGATTATTAATACTGATTTCGCATTTTTATTATTTATTTGCTTTTTACTGTTACTCTCTTGCCTTCCCTGCCCCCACCCCCACCCCAGCCAGTGCAGAGCCTAGGGCCGTCTCTGGCATTGTGGATGGCGGTCTGCAGCCTTCCCCATTGCAATTCTTACCCCCTCACCTTCTGGACCACCCTGTCGATTCAAGTTCACCTGTTAGAAACATGAGGAGAGGGGGAGAGGGAGGAGCAGCCAGGGCAGGGGTGGGCAGGGCTGTCGTGACCATCTGTGCTGCCTCGGAGAGAGGAGCCTGGCCTTACAAGCTGCCGTGTACTCAACCGGTGTCTGGAACAGACTCTCCCCCCAGATCCACAGCAATAGCCATGTAATCAGGGTCCCCAAGGGAGTGTCCTGGGGTCTGCATGTATCTTGTTAGACAAGTGGATATAGTAAAGTTAATATATATATCTTAATGTGGAATTGTAATTTTTACCAATAAATGTAAATTACAGGAATAATCTAGTTTCTAGTTTCATGTTATTTTAACTATTTGAACTTCCAATACAAGCCAGAACTTACCTTTGTAATTTCCTTAGACACTTATGAAGAAATTTGTTCAAACATGCTTGAATTTCAACAAGCCACTTGGTAACTGAAGCAAAGGTTAGTTTGGCTGCCTCGTTTACCTGAAGCAAAATCAGTCTCTCTCTGCAGCGTCGGGGTGGGGTGAGGCGGGGTGAGAAGAGGGTGGGGGTAGGGTAGGGGTGTGGAGAGAAGAGTAAGTGCCAACGAATGAGCAGAAGTCAGGGGTAGATCACTCAGTCACCTGGGTGTTAGGGGATGAGGGTGTCTCTGTTTGCCCTTTTGTCCCCCTCTCTTCACCAGCCTACACTGGGCATTGTCAGTCTGTTTTTCCTTTGTCAGCCTATGAAGTTAAACAGGATTTTTCATGGTTTTCATTTGCATCACAGGTAACATGTTAATGGAGCCTCTCTCTCCCTGTACAGATGAGGGTTCAGGTTCATGGGTATATTCATAGCTCTCCTGGCAGGGAGCTGCTCAAAGTGCTTTGGATACACCCAATATTCGGGGAACAGTTGAGCACTTTGATAAAGATTTGATTGATTTTATTTATGTTGAGAAAAATTAATGTTTTTTTCTTTTCTGTTTAGTTGCTGATCATCTGGGCTGTGATCCTCAGACACGGTTCTTTGTCCCTCCTAACATCAAACAGTGGATTGCCTTGCTGCAGAGGGGAAATTGCACATTTAAAGAGAAAATATCACGGGCTGCTTTCCACAATGCAGTTGCCGTAGTCATCTACAATAATAAATCCAAAGAGGAGCCCGTCACCATGACTCATCCAGGTAAACAGAACAAGGGGGGCTGTAAATTTTGTTGTTCCTTCTAGAAATTAGTGCTTTGTAGGTAAGCATTTTACCACCACAGAACCATATCATTTACAACATAATTCTATGATTATATTCATTTTTTAATATTCATTTTTGGTATTACCATTCATTTCTTGAGATGCATGTCTTTTTCCTTTAGTTGAATTTGTTTCTTAAATAATGATTTTGAGAGTCTGTAAAACTTGCACTTACTAAATAACTGGCTGTGATGGAATCCTTAGTCATTTTGCATTTCTACATTTCACTTAATAACTTTGCAAAATGACATGTTCCATTGAGAATCATTCATCTAGGTTATGGACTCTGAAGGATTACCTCTTCAAGGAGGATGCTTTTTATCTTAACAGGATAAATGTCTAAACGGACTCAGTAGTAACTGTCTTCATTTCTTGTGGGAGCATTTGAGGTTATCTCTAATTTAACTGCTTTAGTAACAAGAGTTGCAATTTATTGAGCACTTACTATATGTATGCCAGACACTGGACTACAAGGGGTTTTGGGGGCGGGGGTTGTTTTTTTAATAGACTTTATTCTTCAGAGCAGTTTTATGCTCCCAGCATAGCTGAGTGGAAAGTACAGAGATTTCCCCTACAGCCCCACACAGGCAGGGCCTCCCTCACTATCGGCCTCCCCCGTCTGGAGCGGTGCATGCGTTACAGGTGGTGAACCTACAGCGATGACTTCTAATCACCCACAGTCCATAGTTTACTTGGAGGGTCACTACTGCTGTGGAACATTCTGTGGGTTTGGACAGATTTGTACCCACTGTGATGGTATCATACCGACTATGTTCGCTGCCCTAAACATCCTCGGCGCTCTGCCTATCCATCCCTTCCCCCATCCCTCCCATTTCTCCACCCCTTGGCAACCACTGATAACTTTTTTTTACTATTTCCATAGTTTTGCCTTTTCCAGAATGTCCTGTTGTTGGAATCATAACAGCATTTAGCCTGTGCATACCGGCTTCTTTCAGTTTGTAGTATACATTTAGGTTTCTTCCCTGTCTTTTCATGGCTTGATAGTGCATTTCTTGTGAGTGCTGAACAGCGCTCCATTTTCCAGATGTACCGCAGTTTATCTGTCACCTGCTGAAGGACATCTTGCTTACTTCCGAGTTTTGGCAATTATGAATTAAGCTGCTGTAAACATTCGTGTGCAGGTTTTTGTGTAGATGTTAGTTTTCAGATCCTTTGGGTGCGTGATTGCAGAGTTGCATGGTAAGCGCACGTTTCATTTTATAAACTGCCAGACTGTCCTCCCCAGCGACTGTACTGTTTTGCAGGTCCACCAGCAATAAATGAGAGCTTCTCTTGTTTCACATCATCGCAGGCTTTGCTGCTGTCTGTGTTCTGGATTGTGGCCATTCTAATGAGTTGTTTTAATTTGTGTTTCCCTGCTGACATGATGTGGCGTTTTTTAATCCATGTTTTCATCATCCTCGCCGTAGCTATACATGGTGTAGGCACTCCCATCTTCTAGAACCAGGAGAGCGCAGCAAGAGTCAGACCAGCGGGTTCGCCAGTGCTCTGTCATCTCCCAGAGTTGAAACCTAGATAAAGCTGAGTCTGTGTTCATAAAGGTTTTAAAGTTTAATGTTATATTTAAAGAATGTTCGACATAATCAGTTTTAGACAGTAATCTTGCAGAGGCACCTGCACCCCAATTGAGGATCACCTTTTGTGTCTGTTTTGATAAGAGTAATGAGATGGATTTCAATTTTATTGTTCTGTGACTTGTTTTCTTCCTTTCAAATTAAGCCTTTTAGAATGAAACTATATTTTTTCTAGTTGCAAAAGTAGTAACACATGCTCACTGTAGAAAGCTGAAACAATAGTAAAACACAAAGAATAAAAGAGAGTGAGTGATCTTCACTATCCGGAGATCACTGGAGTCCTGTAGCTTTTAATTTCTTCAGGGAAACCACAGGGAGATAAAGGGACAGCCTGTTTCAGCTGGCCATCTGTGTGGGAACACTGGATTAGAGACATGGGGCTTTTCTGCTCTAGGTCTCAGAGCAGCTGCTAATTTGTTCTCCTCGGCTGTTTTAGAGCAAAGAAAAACTATTTGAAATTTTGGACCTGATACTTCCATACTGATTTCTTTTTACTGAAAGCATGAAGAAACCTGGAGAGGGAGAAATTCATTTGAGCAAAATGTATTTTTCTTTCCTGGTGGTGGTAGTTTACATACATAAAGCTGCAAAGAAGTAGCTAGAATGAGTCTTCTAAATATGAGAAGATCTGGAGATTATAAGAGAGGAAATTGATTTTTTTAAAAGATTTTATTTATTTGACAGAGATCACAAGTAGGCAAAGAGGCAGGCAGGGAGGGGTTGGGGGGAAGCAGGCTCCCTGCTGAGCAGAGAGCCCGACCTGGGGCTCAATCCAGGACCCTGGGATCATGACCTGAGCTGAAGGCAGAGGCTTAACCCACTGAGCCACCCAGGCGCCCCAGAAATTGGTTTTATTAATGATTTTTGTTTTAAAAAGGTTGGAAGCCTCTATAAATAATCACAGATCTCCTCTCATCTGTGTTCCTTAAAACGTTAGTTTATTCAAGTATTTTCAAAGATGGCCCATGACTGAAAAAAGGTAAGTGGTGAGATAAGCTCAGGAAAATGCTTGAAATGTAGTCCACTCTCAGAGGTTCCTGAGTGATATACTAAGATCTCTGAGAGTCTTAGGGTTAAGAACTTGTCCTACGTAGATTAACCTGTGGTTTCCTAAATTTATTTGACCATGTACCCCTTTCGTCACAGGTTAGTGTGGAGCAGCACGAGGAAGGAACTTTAGGGCCAGAGTTTGAGGATCTAGTGTTAGGAAGTGGGACGTGGTAAGGCAAATGGAATCAAAGCAGACGTGAGAGCAATGAGAAATGGCTTTATGCTGTAATTAGACACAGAAAAAATCAGAGTAATCTGGGAAACTAAATTGGTACAGTACTTTGGAGAGAAATTTGGCATTGTGTGATATCGCTAAAGAACTGCTACATTGTGATCTGGGAATTCCTTGCCTGTATACCCCCTCCAGAGTACTTTCTAGACTTTACTGTGCATACAGGTTACCTGGGCATTTTGTTAAAATGCAGACTCTGATTCAGCATATCTGGGGTACAGCCTGAGATTCTGTATTTTTAACAAATTCCCAGCTGATGCTAATGCCTCTAGTCCACAGCTCTTGCTTTGAGAACAAGGAAGACAGGAAACCTAGGTTTTAGTCCCAGCTTTTTCACTGACTTGCTGGGGGACATAGGACAAGTTGCCTCCTGTCTGGGAAGGCCTCTCGTGACTCTAAACCCAGGTTCTGTGGAAGGCCTTGAATCCCCGTCACGGAGGACAATCGTTTGACTTCTTATGAGATCTCCCACTTTCTGCCTCCGACCGTGTGGGAGCCAGTGGGGAGATTTCATGTGTTTACACAAGCATCGGGGGCCCCTCCCTGTCGTCCTCCAGACCCTTGTTACTCTTGCCTGTGTGCATGAGAAGCACACGAGAGTGTTCGTGGCAGCGTTATGTAACAGCATTTATTGGAAACACCCAGATGTCCATCACGGGAGAATGGAGGGATTGTAGCATATTTATAGAGTGGTTAACTGTCAGTGAGTTAAAGCCACACGTACTTATATGACTAAATCCCAAAAACATAATAATGAGCATAAAAGAGTAAGTTGTTAGAAGAATATGTACAAATAACATAAAAATGAATGTGCATTTAAAAATGCACAACTGTAGCTGCCATGTATAGATAGATATGAATAAAATAGCAGGAGTACAAATTAGATGAACAAATATCAAGTTTTGGGATAATGGGTCTTTCTGGAAAGGGGATTTTTTGAGGGGCGGCGAATTTAGGATCAGGGGTAAGTATGTGAGGAGGTTCGGACGAGCCAGTCGTGTCACTTCTTAAGCTGAGGGTTGAGTACATAGATGTTCATTATATTCTCTCTTATTCTTGGGCTTTGAAATATTTCAAAGTAAAAATCATAAGAAAAACTGTAAAGGATTAAAAGTAAGCAGAAGAAGTGGCCTTTCTGGCTGTGACCAAGTAAGGAGATCACCGGATTTTCTTTTCAGAAGAAAACGACTCTAAAACTGGACAAAACTGACAAAGCAGCCCCTTCAGTGTTCTGGAAATCAACCAGAGGCATATAACAATCTGAGGCTCATTGATGTTTTGAACAGCTGCCAGACTTTGGGTGGGAACAATGGGAAGCTGTGGTGTTTGGCCCAGGGCTGCTTCCCACACTCCCCAAGCTATGTCGCTGGGGGTTTCTGCTGGGGCAGGGCGGGTGGCAAGGACAGAGGGCTAGCCCAGCAGTGACAGAAGGGTGGGTGACACCATGCCCGACACTGTTGTCTCTGGAAGTGACGTCTTGGGGACTGGCAGGTGGAGGAAGGTCAGTGTCTATCTCTCCCAGCCCAAGGTTGCCGCCAAGTATGTTCTTATCTGAGACCACATGCTCTGTGATTTCGGAGCTGAAGCTGTTTACATTCCCGGACGACCTTGAGACTCTGCGCCTGCAGGTAGGAGACAGGACTGGCAGGAGTAAACCAGGCGGGACTGGAAGTGGCTACGGCTTTGAACACTCTTCTCTCCCTACACCCAGATCCATTAGCAGATGATATCAGCCTTACTGATTTGAGATGTTTGGGCACCCGTGTCCAGTAACTGGCTGACAGCTAGTCTTGGAAGAATATTAAATAAATAAGAAACTGAGCAGAGACATCAGTGGAAGAGACACCACAGAAGAAGCAGACTTCACAGGTCTAACCCAGCCATGCTACTGAACAAAAAGCAGGCAAACGGACAAGGCAACAGCAGCAACCTTAAGGGGAAAAAAAAGATCAGAATGCAGAGTTGAGACATTTTATTGTCCAAAAGGTCTGGTTTTTAACAAAAGATGACAAGCTAAGCAAAGAAATACGAAAGTGTGACTCATACTCAAAAAAGAATCTG